TAGGGGAGACCTCTCTCTTCCTCTTCCCTCCCGCCCCCCGCCCCCCCCCATGGCCAGCCTTGCCGCCGCGCTCCATCATGGGCATCGTGATGAATGGGAAAAAGTCGGCATAATCTAATAAACAGAAGAAGCATGTCTCACCAATAAAACAAATTCTGAATAAAACCATCTGCAGGCATTAAGCTTGAAACAATGCAAACTGTTTAGCTGCTTTGCCAAAAGAGGCGCAGTGGGGGGTCAAGAGAGGGATAGATAAATAGCCATAATTTTCCAGTTCCTTTGGGTGACAATGGGCTTGTGTGTGAACAGGGCTGTGGTGACATTATACATGCCTGAACACTTGGAACAACTTCCCCTTTTTGCAGTCCCGAGAAGTTAAATTCTTGCCTAATTTTCCCTATCCTGTGGCGCCTGCTGAAAAGGATGGGATGAGGTGTGGAAGAGAGAGAAATACGGGAAGATGTGCCATGAAAAAGGAGGTAGTCTGAGCAAAACAAAGGCCTACTTCTGCAGTCCTCGAGCTGCCTGGATTTCCACTCGCGTCGCTGAGAACTTTGGGGATGGCAGGACTTTGGGATCAGGTCTTGATATATGACTTAAATACACAAAAGACAATCTATCTGGCAAAACAATCGGAAAGGTGAACGACTCCAAAATGAGCTCCCTTAGAAAGGCAGCCCTGTGTGGCACAGACAATTATGCTGAAGTTCAAATGAGTATCATTCATTAGGTCTCCAACCGTGGTACACTTTTTGTTCCCCCATTTCTAACCTCTAAAAAAAATTCCTGCTTAGAGGATAAGCTTGCTGTGTGATTTTACCACTTTTCAGTAATTGCAGATAGATGGACTTTGAGGCGCTTGCACTTGCCTGGGAAAGGCATACCGTAAGCTGTCAGCACCGTCAGACTCCTCAGAAATATTAGAGATCTTAATAGAGCTGCCCTAGCCTGCAGTTTCTGTGTATGTATGTGCCGAAATGTGTGAGAATACTATACCAGCAGCAAATACAATAATGGGCTTGTAAACACGATTGATGAATGAACTGAGAGAAAAAATAATAATTAGAAAAACAATAAAAATCACGGAAGTAGTGCAAATACATGCTGAATGCCATGTTATGTTAATTTGAAGTAATTGTTTTGTTGTAGCTGTTGTAGTAAGAGCAGGCTCGAAGGGAGGCGTAGAGCTTTTATTTATAAAGAAAATTGAATATATAAGTGCAATATAAATAAAAGATACTACAACTCCTTGCAAACAAGGGCATGCTAATTTGTTGAGGCAGGAGTTTCCTTGTCTTACTGCGTGCCTGTTGTTTCTGTATGTTCAACAGTTGGGTGATAAAATCTGTGTGCCAAAGATTTTGCGTCTTTTCTCTTTAGAAACTAGTTACAGAAGGAACAAAGCGCAAACTGGTACTGTCTTTGCAAAAAAGCTTTCTTTCTGGGCTTGGAAAGCAAACTCCTTATTCGTCAAACTCCTCCCCCTCTCTTATTAGCAAGACATAGGATTAATTTTTTTTATGAACTCTTCAGCACCTTTTCCTTGACAAAGTTTCCAGTATTCTGACCCCACTGCACTACCACTAGCAGTTCTACTGGGTCTGCTGCGCTCTCAGAAAAAACTTCAGGAATGGCAACATCAGTATAGGAATGAGGTAATTAGGTGCAGATTTTCCAGTATTAGATGTCAGATCTGCTGCTCCATGAAATATTGGATAGTCTCCCAGAGAGACAAAAGGGTTCTTTTACTGACACTGAGCTTTTGGCCAATGGCATAAAAAATAGTTTGCACAAAAGTGAATAAAACAGAATCCAGCTTGTCAACGGCTATGTTTAGATGGTCTTTAGAGTTTAAGAAATTAAGAGTTGGCAGGTACCTCTATCAGCTGGACAGTCTGACCCTTGGAGCGCAATCAACTGGACCACATTTGGCGCAATGAGCTTGTGATTCACTACGAATACTCGGTGGCTCAAGCACAGGACTGCAAAGATGCAGAAGTTAGGACATGCACTAGCCGTCAGGCTGGTTAGTGGTGCCTCCTGTTTGATTCCTGGTACCAAGTGGCTGCATCAGTGTCTTCCACAGGAGCACCAAGGGACAGGCAGAAAAGCAGCAGAGTTCTTCTCTATGTGAATGTGCACAGCAGCATTATGTGCTCGTTTAAGACGGCTGCGGACAAAACAGTCAGACTCATGCTTACTTCAACTGCCTGTCTTTTGCTCGCAATATTTCCACTGAAATCCACAGTTGTGTGTGTATGAGCATCTGTTTCACACGGGTGATTTTCCACATGATTCAGTGGCCAGTTTCATTCAAAATCCTACATCACCACAGGGCACAGCACTGGCACTGAGAGGCTTGTGTCAGCGTCCCAGGCTCAGCGTTACAGGCCACCGTGGAGTGCTGCTTTCCTGCTCTAACCTCTTGGAAAGTGCTGCTGTGCCCTATCCAAAAGCTAGAGCATCCCATCTTCCAGGTGCCAGCACCATGGCAGCTGGACCTGCTGAAATGAGGAAGGATCCAGAGATAAGGTGAATTGTTGACGCCAGGGTGGCATTGCCAGCACCTGAGTGATAAGGATGTTCTTCCTCTGTTGAACATCAGCTGGCAGAATGAAAATAGTTTAAGGTGAGGTCGTGACAAAGAGATTTTTCATTGCTTGTTTACCAGTTCAGATCCCTCTAGCTTAACAGTTACTGAAAGTTGTAACCGTCCTGGTTACAACTTGGTTACATGACAGGAGCGAAGGTGGAGAATGTTAGCCGTGTTCAAAACCTCCTAGTGCCCCTTTCGGCACTTCATCCACAAACACCTCTAAGGCAGCATTCCTAGGGGCTGGACTGCCCTCCTCCTCCGGGAAAGGTCACTAGGTTGCAAGCCGAAAGGAAAATTATACTGCCATTACCCAGACAACACCTTTCCTGCATATGGAAAGGATTAAAATCTGCAGGACCATCATGCTGATACTCTTGAAATTAGCTAGCTGTGAAATTTGTTAACCAGCTTTTACTGTTAGAAGCCCCAGTAAGAAGCCATGCCACAAGTACAGGCCTTCCTCTTCCACGCTGAGGGGTTGTTGGATGATGAATCAGAATATAGAATTTTCCCTTTGAAAATATGGAGATGGCCCACAAAAGCAAAGAAAAAGGAAATTACATGACTGAGAAGGAAACTCAGCCAGAAACTCATAGCTACAAATGACTGTAGCAGGGTGGGACAGGCCCAGAAAGACGCA